TTTCTGTTTGTATTCCATTTTAGAGTTTTCTTCTCCATTATTTTTGTTTTAAATATAATTTTTTATGTAAAATACTAACATGCTTTGGAAAACCAAACTATGTAAATACAGAAATCCATAGGCCTTCATTTGTTTCCCTGACCTTCATGTTATTCAAAAACAGCCTTATAGATAATCTATCACATTATTCTGTTTTTTCCCTCCTCTCCTTTTCTTTTGCAAAGGAATGCAGATAGATTTATATTTCTACTCTCTCTCCCCCCTTTCTCTTGTCTTAAACATAAAAGTTAGTTTATTATATTTATCTTTAGACTATATTCTTTCTTTTTTAAAATGATTTTATTTATTTTGACAGAGAGACAGCGAGAGAGGGAACACAAGCGGGGGAGTGGGAGAGGGAGAAGCAGGTTTCCCGCTGAGCAGGGAGTCTGATGTGGGGCTCGATCCCAGAACTCTGGGATCATGACCTGAGCCAAAGGCAGACGCTTAACGACTGAGCCACCCAGGTGCCCCTAGACTATATTCTTTCTTACTGAGTAGATTACAATCCAGTCAACATTAGTTTAAAGTTGTTTTGTTCCGTGTAGTTTATAGCTGCCTACCATTCCAATGTGTGCATTTACCATAGCTTCATCCCTCAATTTTAAAAGTTTTTTTTTAATGTTGGGAATAATAGTCCTGTATATGTAATGAAAGTTACATATATTTCTCTCACTATTTCATTTGTATTTTGACCCTACTTGTGGTGATTTAGCCATGCAAAAGTATTTTAATATTGTCAAATTAAATTAGGTAACTTTTCTTTGTGGCATCAGGATTTTTAAGTCGTACTTAGAAAGTCTTCCCATACACCGAAGTTATGTAGAAATTCACCTTTTTCTTTTAGCCTCAGTATGTAGTCATTTTTGTATTAAATCATGTGTTTAGCGCTCACTCTTAAATATGGTATTAGATATGGATCAAATATTGTCTTTTTTCTAAAAGATTATCCAGTATTCTCAGCACTATTTGTCCGAGCCACCATGCCATGTGCTATAACAACAAGTCCCTGACCATTAGGGTCTTAGAGTTTCTAAATACAGACACATAAATGTTAACAAACAATTTCAAAATATTAAGAAAAATGCTTCAAAAGAGGATAGACAGTGAGCTCTGTTGCAAGTGTCAAAGTCAAGTCCAGTCACACTAATGTGAACATAAATGTAAAATAAATGTTTGGTAGGAAGGACATGTAGTTTTTGTTCCAAGGAAAGCCGAATGACATTTCTGACAGAGGACACAGCTGGGTCAAAGACACAAGGGTACAAACAACACAATGTGTTGGGGTGGGTTGGACAAAGCTTCCCTCCTTTGCCAGATTTTATCAGGATCCTCTGAATCTTCTTCTAGACTAAGATTCAACTTTGGCCAGCTGCCCTGCCCTTGGCGCACTGAGGCTGCTTTTAGCAAAGAATCTGCATCTTCCAAAGGCCCAGCATGGTGCCTTCTACAAACATAGAATCAGTCAGTGTTGGCTGAATCAAATTGTTGAACTGGGTAAAATGCACTCATATTAAGGATATTCAAAATATGAAATCTGCCTTTCAGAAAGAGATAGTTCCTTGAACTAAGTAGAAGTTTGCTTGAGAAAACAAGTGTCTATTTACCTCCTTTTACATGGATAATTTGTTGACTCTTAAATAACCATCTCACAGTAGCCTGTGATTAGGATGTGATAAGCCAAACAATAGAAGATTGACATGTGGGGAAATCACAACCATAGAGCATTTAGTGTAACTAGGCACACAAAGAATCAATACGTGATCGTGGCTGGTGCTAATGTAGAAACAGATAAGCAGAAGAATCACTACATTATGAAAGGAAAGATAAATGACAGATTAAATTTCATTCAGCATCTTAAAACATACCTTCAAATACATGTATTTTATATATAGTTCCTTACTGCATGTCATCTTTCATGCCCATGAAAGATCAACAAATTAAATATTTTGTCTGTGTTTATAATTTCTCAAATGTGTTATTTTAGGTTATAATTATGGAAAGACTTCAGGTCCCACTGACAAAATAAACTTGAATTAAGTCTGAACACGAACGCTTACTCTGTTTACCATTAGTCCTCTGATTCTCCAGGAAGTAACTCCTGCTGTTATACACACATATCTCCTCCTTCATCAAAACTGTACTAGCTGTACTATTTTTGAAATTATTGGGGCACCTGAGTGGCTCAGTTGGTTGAGCTTCAGACTCTTGGTTTTGGCTGAGGTCATAATCTCAGGGGCCTGGGCTGGAGCCAGCACCAGGCTCCCCACCTCAGAGGGAAGTCCTCTTGTGGATTCTCTGTCTCCCTCTTCCTCTGCTGCTCTCCCCATTCATGAGTGCACTCTCTCTCATTGTCTCTCTGGAGTAAATAAATAAATCTTAAAAAAAGAAAGAAATTATTAAAATGTATTTGTATTTCCAATTATATTCAAATGCAGCAGTGAATCATGAATACTACACTTCTAAGGACTCAGAGAAAGACACTGAGAAACACATCTCACACACAGAAATTTTAAATCAAATCAATTTTAAAGTATAATTTGTATACAAAAAACTGCATCCATTATATAGATATAATACAAATGTTACTACATTCACCTAATGGGCATGTAGTTTCTCTTAGTCTGGAGTTATTATAAATAAAGCTGTTATGAACATTTGTGTACAGATTTCCATGTGGACATAGGCTTTTATTAACTTGAGTAAATATCTAGAAGTGGAATGGCTGAGTCATGTGGCAAGTGTTTGCTGAACTGGGAAACTACAGAGCGATTTTCCTGCGTGGCTGCACCATTTTCATGCCCGACTCAGCAGTGGAATGGGTGTGAGTCCCAATAGCTCTGTCTTCCTGCTAACTATTCATATGATCAGTCTTTTTAGTTTTAGTCATTCTAGTAGATGTGCTGTGATACTAGGTTTTATTTTGTGGTTTTATTTTGCATTTCTCTAATGACTAACATGTCAAGTAATTTTTCATATGATTACTAGCCATTTGCATATCTTCCTTTGTGAAGTGTCTGTTCAACATTTTTTGTCCATTTTTGTAATGGTTGTAAGATTGTTTAGATATTCTAGATGCAAGTTTTTTGAGAAATGTGCTACAAAATTTTCTCCTAGTTGATGTTAATTTTTGTCTTCTCATGTATGCCTTTAGAAGATTGAGTTTTTCATTTTGATAAAATCTAATATATCCAGTGTTTTTCTCTATGATTTGAGCTTGTGTGATCTGAATAGTAAATCTCTGCAACCATAAGACTACAGTGACTTTCCTTTAGAAAGTTCATAGCTTCAGTGTTCACATTTAGGTCGATGATACACTTTGAGTTAATCTTTGTGTATGGTACGCAGTAACAGTCAATGTCCTTTGGTGTATGTCATTAAGTAAAAATCAAAGACCATTCCAGTACACTTTGCTGAAGAGATTTTTCTTTTCCCATTGACTGGTCTTTGCATCTTCTTCATAAATCAACTGAACATGTCTGTGTGGATCTATTTCAGAGTTTTCAAGATACATTTGGAGTGGTAGCCAAAAATAAACCACAGAGGGCTTGTATTCCATGCAATGAGAGCCAACAAAGGATCAGAACCAGAGAATAATGGATCAGATGTGCATACCATCAAGGCCATGCTGACAGTCTGCCTCATGGAGAAGGTTTTGATGGAACAAGGCAGTAAGCATCAATTTGGCTCACTGGATGCCTCTGATGAAATTCCCTGGATGGGAGTGTAGCCCAAGAATCAGCAAGCACAGAGTTAACCTCACTGAGTTACAAGTGTTCAGAGAGGATGACATAGTAGGAGCAGGAATAGGAGTCATCAGCTGGAAGCTATCCCTTGGTCCCTTTGTTGGTTATGAGAGAAAAAATATTGACTATTCATTCTAATGACAACACAGAGAAAGCTTCATGTCTGCCTCTGAAGGAACTATTGCCACAGACCAATTTCAGAGATTTCATAAGAATTGCAGAAATAAAACCTGAATTACACACACACACACACACACACACATGTGTCCTCATAGGACATGCTTGTGGCTGTAGGTGACATCATGCAGCATGAGAACTCACAGAACTCAGTAGACACCTGGCACCAGCTCTGTATTCTACCCAGAAAATCCTATCCGGACATGGGCAAGGATGGGCTTCTTTCCTCTTCTTCAGGGAGTATTTGTAGTAGCTGCTTCATCCTCCATTTGAATTATTTCAAGGTGTGGTCATAATCCCAGAATTAAGCGATCAAAAACCAAGGTGTCTCAGGCCATCCACTGTATCTACCATTTTCATCACTATGTATTAATACAGAAGATAACATACATTTGAAACTTTTAAGGAGACACTGAATTCCATGTGAAAATGCAAAAGTAAATGTGAAGACACAATCATAGGAAGGTAAAATATATTATACAAGGAAATTGCCAAAGAAGGAGCCTGATGTCTAGTAGAGGAGAAAGAAAAATAAAAATAAAAACTTAATTAATTTTAAAAAGAGGAGGGAGCTACAGACAATAGGATGGAGCCACTACACCAGCCCTTATAAAGAAACAAAGCAAACAAACAAAAACCCTGGTGGTTAAGGCATACTTCTGGGGTAAATTGCTAGGAACTGAATATAATTCCTAAGTGTCCACCACATACAGAGATACTCTCCGCCACAATTGGGAGGCAGATGGGTGTTTTATCAACAAAGTCCTGGGAACTGCTGCAGACACTGGACCATGAGGCCTCAAAATTCATGCAGAGCTTCTGCACTTGAGGTCTCCATGACTAGATTTTTAAGACTGGGGATCTTGAGATGGGAACTGTGAAAAGTGAAAACCAGAGGAACAGCTGTGGCCCAAAGGCAGGCTCTGGGCCTGCCCTGCAAAGGAAGTGCTCTTCACAGGAGGGGACCCAGCAACAGTGACCACAGAAGGAGTCCTGGGGGACCATACCTGCCTAACTGCAGGACAGAGACCAGGCTTCCTGTGCTTGGAGGTGAAGTGAAAAAGAGATACAAGAGAAGGCCCAAAATAGAAAAACTGGTCAATATCTTCTGTCATATCATAAAAAGTGAGGATGGAGAAAAGGAAGAGAGAATGAGAAGTGTTTAGGCACCCAGGATGCAAGAAGCAGGGTCCTGTGTCTAAGAACAAGAAGTGGGGAGGAAGGTGGAGCTGTCTGCTGAAGGTTTGGGTCTCAGTAAAGTATCCATTGATGAGGGGCAAATCATGAAACCATGATATAATTCATAGACACAGTAAGTACAACCGGGGTTGCCTGGAGCTTGCTGAGTTGGTAGTGGGGGCATGGATATGAGGAATTACTGTTTGATCAGCAGGGTGTTTGAGTTTGGGAGGCTGAAAACAGTTCTGGAATGGGTGGTAGTGATGTTTGCACGATAATGTTAATGTGCTTAATGCCATTGACTACACTAAATGGTTAAAATGGTAAATTTTATGTAATATATATATTTCTAGAATTTAAAATAAGAATCCCAAGAGTGCTTCATAAGAATTCTTAAACACAAGCAGAAAATAGGGAAAAGCAATTTTGTGCCACCCCCAAGTGTCAACACAGGGAAGATGCCAGGGGTGTCCTGTGCTGGGGAAAGCCCTCTATAACCTGTGGTTCCCCAAACACCCATCATGGATGCACCTCCATCAGGCCTTCTTCAGCTTCCTGGCCCCACACAGCCACCTGGCCACCATGCCCAGCAGCTTCCCACAGAGCCACAGGGTGCCCAGGGTGACCAGCAGCAGGAACAAGAAGACGTCCAGCAGGTACTGCTCATGCCATGGCTGCTGCAGGCCATGGGGCTTGAGGTGTGCCGCACCCCCTGTCTGGAGGATGTGGTCGATCCAGCCCACCAGCCTCTGAGCAGGGGTCAGGGGGTGGGAGCGCCTGATGATGCTGGCGGCCACTGCTGCTGACTTGTACCTGTTGGCAGAGACAGAGGCAGGGCGTTACCCATATGGTCTCAGAAGTCACACGCACACATTTTCATCCATATGACAAAAGACTCAGTTTCAAGGAAAAGTTGTTAGCCTGGCCTTGTCACAGTCTGGCTGGGTCCTCTTGAAAAGTTCAACCTGTTCCCTCCATGCAAAGATCCATGCCTAGTGCTAAAAGTGCTAAATTATTTTAAAAAGTGACTAAATGTAAGGATGAGTCTCTACCCAGGGAGCTTAGGATAAGCTAAAGGAAAGAGTATATATGAATATATGTGATACAACATACACCTAAATCAGGGTAAATGTCCTTGAGACCCTAATAAGATATTCAGTCCATCATGGTTACTACATCTTTGTGCTGGATGGGAATTTACCTAAGTGAGCATAGGTCCTTTTATTGACTCACTTAACAGAAATTCATCCCAACTTATTTTCTGGCCGGCCCTATGCTAGGCCTTGGGAACACAAGGAAAAACAAGAGACACACTTGGCCATCCAGGGAAGCATACTCTCTACTTTCTAGTGTGAGGGACATACAATGAATTAAAACAGAAAGAAATGGGGTAGTGACTGATCCTGAGAAGAGTTAAGACAGAAAAATAAATTATGATTAAAAGGGGTGGGAGAGGGGTGTATTTAGGACAGTCAGACAAAGACTGCCTGCCTCTATGAGGAGAAGACATTGAAGATGAGTTCAACTGTCATGAAGGAGCCAGCCCTGTGAAGAGAAGGGAAGGATATCCTAGGGAGCAGCACTGACAAAGGGCCTGAGGCAGGAAATCATGTGGCATATTGGCGGACAGAAAAGCTACATCCTGCTTCACTGTAATTCTACTATAAGCACTCCCAAAATATAAAACCTCTCAGAGACCCTGTGTAAATAACTCGGGGTGGTCACAACACTTAGGGAAGAAGTTGTTCTCAACATCTAACCTGAATTGCCTAGTATTGTTCCCAGACAGGTCAGGGGTTAGCATCACACACATAATATTCCGTGTCTGGAAGTTTCAGCTTTTATTACAAAAAAAAAAAAAAAAAAGCCACACAGTGCCCTTTGTGTCTGATGATTTGTTTCGGCCAAAGTGACTATAAGCCCAGAGAGCTCCAGACCTCTTGTCTTCAATGACTTCCTTCATCTTCAGAGCCAATGTCTCTGCCTTGATCTGTTTAAGCTAAATAGAGACACCAAACTTTTTGGCTTCTACTCGGACCAGGTTGTCAGGTTGGTCTCCAAGGACAGGAATCCCCACCATGGGCACACCATGTTGGATGGCTTCCATTAGGCTATTCAATCCACCATGGGTGACAAAGAGACAGATGCATGGGTGAGCTGTTGCAGATCAGGAACAGAGTAGAATATTTCAGGGTGAAAATTTTCAGAATACCAGGTAAAGTTCCAAGGACAGAAAAAACTACAAAGGGGTCTCAAAGTATGTTGTAAACTTGTATTTATTGATTTAGCTTAGGACACACTCAATGGTATGTATTCCAAGATGTAAAATTCTGGTCTTGTCTCTCTACAGAGATTCCTCTAACTAAATCAATCTAAGAGGCAGGTCCCAGGGAAAGCTTCAGATAACAGTGCTATCTAAACAAGACATATTCTTCTTCCCATCCATCCATTCATCCATCCATCCATCCATGCATCCATCATTTTCTCTCCACCCTGTTTCTCACCTTCCTTCTCTTATCTCTGTCCTCTTTTAGTCTCTCCCAGTGTCACTTTGTCTGTATCTTCTCTTATTTTTTATCTCTGACTGTCTCTGTTTCTTGCTCTCCAAGTCTCATGCTTTCCCCTTCACTTCCCTTTCACTTCCTTCTTATCTGAAATGTTAACACTTTCACTGACATCACATCTCACATGTCATTCATCAAAATTACATTGTATGTGCTCTCTCCTCAACTTCAGAAGAAATCCTCTAAAGTAGGCAATATGGACCACCCAACTCAGTATTTCCAGTTCCTGTGTGTTCATCCCACTCTTATTTAAAGAAAACTAAAACAAGTGTTGATAATGAAGTGTTCATCTCAAACACTGTCTCTCAATAGGGATGTGCATCAAAATCGATTTGTGTTTCTTTGAAAATCAGAATCCTTTTTACCTACACCAATTCTTGTGAATAAATGTGCAGAACCTTCTATTTTAAGTTCCCACAATGTTTGTGAGCCATAATCTGGGGATGAACCTCTGTTGTAGGCAGTGGTTTTGGTACTGAGGGGTTCCAAAAGGTGACACAAAGGACAAAGAAAATGTATTGGGGCATAGGGGGCGCTCTGTTACCAAAGAATTTGATGGAGCAAATAACCAGCTGACAGGTTACTCAGCTTGACACTTAGATATTTTGGCACACTCTTTAGAAACCATCAACATCAATTTTGAGAAAGCATGAGTCCATCATTTGCAGGGTAGGAGAATGTACTAAAGTGTGTGGGAGTGTGTGTCTCTAACGGCACATGGCCTCACAGATACTCGGGAGGCCAGGAACAGCAGTGGCCACGAGACACCCGGGATGTGTTCTCAGAGTCTACAAGCCATCTTTGATTGTGTCTGGGCTACCTTGGTCTGTGCCAAATATGGTAAGGTCAAAACAACCTGACAACAACATCATTTCTGGCTGCAGGTATCAGGACTGCAATAGAAAGGAAGAAAACATGGCAATTTTAGCCATTTGGGAAGCATAGCCTGATTTCCCAAGAACTCCAGCTGGTTGCTCCATTCCTGTCCTCTAAAGATTACCTTTAGCTACCAGCTGCCCTTTCTCATGCTGGTGGTGTTGCCCAGTGGAAACCTAAAGATACATAAATGGAAAGAGAGAAGTAGATCTGAACAGTCCTTACCCAAGAGGTCATTCTGAGGAAGCCAGTCCACAATTTTCACATTTGCTGCCAATTTGACGTCTTTGGGCCAATGAGAAGGATTACACTTCCATATCACCCCTTGAGACAGATGAGCAAAGGCACTGTTCATCTCCCTGACAACTTCCTGGGACTGATAGATGCTCACAATAGAGCCCAGGGCCACAAGGACAAAACCAGAGTCTCCAAACTTGGCAATGAAATTCTCAAATTCCTGGAGAGAGGTAACAAAGGAAAGCAGGTGAACACAGTTGCTCATGAAAGCCTAGACACACTTGAAATGAAAGTCAGCTATTTACTGAATACACCCTCCTGTCAGTGGCCTAGAGCTCACTGTCTTGAAGAGGTTCTCAATAGCCCCTGGGACAGCTCAGTGCCCTCTGCACTGTGCTCATATCCATTGTGTCTGGTGGCCTTGAAGTCATTTCTCTGAGACCTCAGGACACATCCTACCATATAAACACTTTCAATAATCACAGATGAATGGGAAGACAGCTGTAGGTGTCCAGTCACTACCACAATAACCCACATTGCCTTTGAGGCACTCAAAGCACACTGTAGCACCAACATCTAAATCCAGGACTTGTGTGTGTAACAATGTTTTATAGAAGAGGAAAGCAGAGGTGGTGGGAATTTCTTTCTTCATTGAAAACATGGTCTCAGTACCAAGGTCATCCTCATCTCTCGTTCTAGGTGTGGGGAGATATGGTCATTTAGGAGGGTTCCAATGCCAGACCAGAGGTGCTAGTGCCTGAGAGAGTGCCAGTTGCTGTCCTGGCCCAGTAGGAGGCAGCATGCCTTCTGGAGGCTGAGGTAGATGCTGGGGAAATGTCTCTGTGGTGTGTCTCCTTTATATGCTTATTAGCCATCTGTCTGTCTTCTGTGTTGAGGGGTTAGCCCATTTTTAAATTATTGGTTTTCTTACTGTTAAATTCTAAGAGTTCTTGTATACTGTGTATATTTTTGTGTATAAAGTGCTTATTTGCATATTTGAATAACCATTTTAAAAGATTAAGGAGGATCGGTATTGCAATGAGCACTGGGTGTTATACGCAAACAATGAATCATGGAACACTACATCAAAAACTAATGAAGTACTGTATGGTGACTAACATACTAAAATTTAAAAAATGAGAGTATATTGTGATCAAACAGGATTGATGCCAGGAATGCAGAAGTGGTTTACTATTCAGAAATCAATAACTGTGATCATATTAGTAAACTATTAAAGCAGAAAAAAAAAAAAGATGTCTTCCAAATATTTGCTCTTGTTCTGTGGCTCCTCTTTTTATTCTCTTGACAGTGCCTGTCTGGAACAGAAATTTTAATTTCAACTTCACACACTTATCAACTTCTTTTTCTTTATAGAACATGACTTAAGTTTTGCATTTTAAGTTTTCACCAAACCCTAGTTCATCTAGATTTTCTCTGATACCATATTCTAAAAGATGTATACATTTACATTTGCATTTTATATTTAGGTCTGTGGTCTATTTTGAGTTAATTTTCTTGAAGGGTGTATGTATGTATGGGTCTAATTGTGCGCGTGCACACGCATGCAGATATCCATTTTTCCTGCACAATTTTTTGAAAGTCTGTGTTTTCTCTATACAATTGTCCTTACTTCTTTGTGAAACATCAGTTTACTAAATTTATGTGGGTTTATTTTGGGGTTCTCTATTCTGTTACATTGACTATTTTCCTAATCTGTCAATATCATTCCATCTTGATTATTGTAGCTTTATAATAAATAATCAAGTTGACAATGTCAGCCCTCCAACTTTGTTCTCCATCTTCAATATTGTGTTGGCTCTTCAGGATTTTAGCTCTCCATGTAAATTTTTTCCCTCTCCCCCCTTTTTTTTTATTATGTTATGTTAATCACTATACATTACATCATTAGTTTTTGATGTAGTGTTCCATGATTCATTGTTTGCGTATAACACCCAGTGCTCCATGCAAATTTTAGTATCAGTTCATTATTATCCACAAAGTAAGTTGGTGAGATTTTGATTGTGATCGCATTGAATGTATTGATCAATATAGAGAGAACTAAATACTTGACAATATTGACTCTTCCTATCTATGAACATGGACTTTCTCTCTACTTATTTAGTTCTTTGATTTCCTTCATTAGAGTTTTGTACTTTTCCATATATAGATCTTGTACATATTTTGTTAGATTTATTCCCAAGGCCACAATTTTGGTGGTGCTAATGTAAATGGTATAGTGTTTTAATTTCACATTCTTCTGTGAATTGCTTATATATAAGATTGGTTTTAGACATTAAACTTGTATCCTGTGACATTGCACTAATTGCTTACTAGTTATAGGAATTTTTATTTGTTTTTTCTTTTTCAGACTTTTGGATTGGACCATCATGTCATCTGTGAACAAAAACAGTTTTATTGATTCCTTCCTAATCTATATGCCTATTATTCCTCTTTCTTGTATTATTTACCTAGGACCTCCAGTATGAGGCTAAGAGGTGCTAGTAAGAGGACATACTTGTCTTGTACCTGGTAGGTTGTCCTTTCATTTTCTATATAATGCCCTTTGATACAGAGCAGGCTTTAATCCTGATGAAGTCCTATTTATCTATTTTTTCCTTTGTTACTCATGCTTTTGGTATCACATCTACAAATTCATTATCAAATAAAAGTCCATGCAGATTTATGCCTTTCCTTTCTTCTGAGATTTTTATGGCTCTTAGCTTCTTATTTAGGCCATTGATCCATTTTAAGTTAATTTTGGTATGTGGTGTGAGGAAGCCTGAAATACATTCTCTTTCATGTGAAAATCCAGTGGGATCAGCACCATTTGTTGAAGAGACTATCCTTTCCTTCATTGAATGGTTTTGACACCCTTGTCAAAAATGAATTGGTCACAGATGTATGAGTCATCCAACTGTGTTCTTTTTCATATTGTTTTGGTTATTCAGGGTCTCTTATATTTCCATATGAATTTGGAAATTGGCTTTTTCATTTCTATAAAAAGAAGAGGCCATTGAGCTATTGATAAGGATTAGATCAACTCTGTAGATCACTTGGAGTAGTAGTGCTTTCTTAACAAGATTAAGTATCACAATCCATGGTCTGGAGATGTTTTTCTATTTATTACATCTCCCTGAATTTCTTTCAGCAAATTTGTAGTGTCCTGTATACATGTCTTGCAATTCCTCAGTTTAATTGGATCCTGTTTAAATAGAATAATTTACTTAATTTCATTTATAGATTGTGCGTAGCTGCTGTATGAAACACAACTCATAATTACACGTTGATATTTTCTCCTGCAACTTTGCTGGATTCATTTATTACATCTAGTAGTTTCTTTTTGGTGTATGAATTCTTTGGGATTTTCTATATAGAGAATTATGTCATATGAAAATCAAACTGTTTCTACATTGTACAATTTGGATGGCTTTTCTTTTCTTTTTCTTGTCTACTTGCTCTGTCAAGGGCATATGTGAATAGCAGTGATGTAAGTGGGCATCTCAGACTACTGATCTTAGGCAGCACAATTGCAGTCTATCATGACAAGCATGATGTTAGCAGAGAGTGTCCCATATACTCTTTATCATGTTCAAGAAGTACCTTTTTACCCCTAGTTTCTTTAGTATTCTTATCATGAAAAGGAGTTAGTTTTGTCAAAAATCTTTTCTGCATCTCTTGACATGATGTTTTTTTGTCCCCTTCATTCTAATAATGTGTTGTATTACATTGATGATTTTGTTATATTAAACCATTTATAAAATATCCTTTATCTCCTGCAAAAGTTATGATATGTCTATTTTGCGTGGTATTAATTAGTATGTAGCCACCCCTAGATGATTCTTAAGAAGTTTCTGATTTAAATCCCTAAAAATGAGTGTTAATACACTTTTGTCAATTCTTCAAAACATTCATTTCTTCTTCCTCTGCATTGTTTGGTTGACTCCAGCTCACAGCCTTTACTCCTTTGTTCAATCTAGCTCTATTTGAGTCCATCGTTCACTGCACCATAAGATCCACCATCCAAGGGGACCACTTAAAATCAGCTTTGCTGTCTTTTGATAATTATAAGATTAATGTAAATCTATTATTTAAAATTGAAAAGAGTAGAAAGAGTAGAGCATGACATCAGAATAAGAGGCTCCATGCTCTCATTCCCTAAAAGAAACACTAAAAAAATATATTAAAAGAACTGAAGACGGACTGCACCCCAGGCAAATGTGTAACCAGTCTCACCGAAGCCAGCAAATAGCTATGAAAACACCGTCTCACCAGAATCCCTACCCCCAGCATGTGGATATCCACATGAACAAGAATAAAATCAACCCTCACCTTACACCATACAAGAAAGTCAACTCAAAATGGGTTAAAGATTTAAACATAAGACCTGAAACTACAAAGCTCTTAGAATAAAACACAGGGGGAAAGTTTCGTGGTATTGGTCTTAGCAATGATTTCAGTGATATAGCACAATGCAAAAGAAAATTAAATATCAAATTCAAAATGAACAAACACCAAAACAAACAAGAACAACAACAAAACCAACTGGGACTACATTAAACTAAAAAGCTTCTGCACAGTAAAAGAAATAATCAACAGAGTAACAGACACCTTACAGAATAGAAAATATCTGCAAACTGTATTCCTGATAAGAGATTAATCTCCAAAATATATAGGAAAGGCCTACAACTACATAGAAAAAAATAAAATATCTTATAACCCCATTAAAAAATAGGCTAAGGCCTGGAATAGACATTCATCGAAAGACAACATGCAAATGGCAAACAGATATATGAAAAAATGCTCAGCAACACTAGTCATCAGGGAAATGCAAATCAATTCCACAATGAGATATTAATTCACACCTATTGGTATGGTTTTTATTAAAAAATAGAAGACATGTTGAAAGAACAACTGTTACATACTCTTATTGGGAATGAAAAGCAGTGAAGGCACTATGGAAAACAGTATGGAAATTCCCCCAAATTAAAAATAGAACCACCATATGACGGAGCAATCTGATTTCTCTTTCTGTACCCAAGAGAATGGAAATCAGGATCTCAAAGAGATATCTGAATTCCCATATTTATTGACGTACTCTTCACAATAGCCAAGATGGAGTAACAGACAAAATATCCATTCAAAAGATGAGTGGGTAAAGAAATTGTGATGTATATATATCACAGTATAATGGAATACTACTTATTGCTTACCCTTAAAGGAGGAAATGTTCCAATTTGAGAAAATGGATGAATCTTAAGGACATTATGCTAAGCGGCATAAGCCAGAATAGCAAATAGTGCATGAATTAACTTATAGAAAGCATCAAATATAGTCACATTTTAGAATCAAAAGTGGGAGTTGGTTTCCAAGGGGGGGGGTGAAGGAAAGGAGTAGTTGTTATTCCAAGGAGGAAGAGTTTCAGGTGAGCGAGATGAATAATAGCCACAGAGGTGAGGCACAACATGATACCTACAGTCAATAATTATGTTTTGTACTGTTAAAAATTTGATAAGGGTGTAGATCTCATATTAAGTGTTTTGTACTACAATAAAATAAAATTTGAAATAGAATAAAATACAAAAAAATAGACTAGAAAAATAAAACAAAATAAAAATATATATCCTCTTTGTTTGTCTGTCTCATACTAGATCACTCCGAGTTCACACTGGCAGAGGAGTCATGAACTCTGCACTAAAGAGCTCTGCATGGAGTCCATATTGAGGGCAAAGGTTTCACTTATCTGTGGTACTGCTTTAACAGGTCTAGACATTAAGCCTCCAACATACACAGTGTTGGGAAGCAGGGGCCGAGGAAATTCAAGGGCAAAGTCAGAGTTAACAAACCACAGCTCTGCTTTCTTTAGAAGATGAGACAAAACTGGCCTAGAACCTTCTGGGAAGTGTTCCTTGATGGTGTTGTCAAATGTAGACTAGATTCGCCATTGCTTCATGGAGAAATCAAAGAGCATCAGAAAATTCTTCACTCTGCCCCAGAAGTCCATGTGGTCAGTTAGCAAGGAATTGAATACTGGAGCATAAGACACAGGGTTTGGTAGTCCAAGGTCCACACTGCCAAAGGGAGTGGGAAGAATTGACACAAATGGCTTCCCAAGCTTCTCAGCAACCAGGAAAGAACAGAAGTCAAATGCTTCAATGAATACTAGGTCAAAGTTCTCATTTTTTAAGGAACCCATGATATCACCTCTCCTTAGCAAATCACTGCATCGAATTCCCAGTTGTTCCATTAACTTTAAAAGTTTGTTGAGTACTTTTCTGTAAAAAAGTAATGGTAAATATTCATTGAATGTGTTAATTTCACAATACTTAGGAGAATCTGTGGCTCAAAGAGAATATCCCAGGTAAGTAAGACCATATTTGGCAGCAGTCCACCTATTTTATCAGTGCCAAGGAATACTCTGGTCTAGTCCCTCTGCTCTGGGTATTTCTGCTTCCTAAAATGTTCTCACTTCCTCCCCTCCCTTTTCTTTGGTCAATCCATATGCACCCACTAGCAAAGTTAATTCATGGTCCTTCTAGTTTGTCTTTCTGTTTTGGTTTAGTTTGGTTTTTTGAGGTCATTCTACATTGAAAACATTCTCTGTCACTAGTAGATCTCAAAGTCCCATGTCTAGGTGATACATTCCATGATGCTCTGTTTAACTTTCATTTGTATACTGATCTTTTATAAGTGACTATCCTGTTTCCTAACCAAACTGTGGAAGTAATTTCATGGCATCAATATTCATGATGTAGCCCTTTTATTTGAAACTGGGTATATCCTAAATTTGACAGATTGCCTCACACAACAAACTTTCTGATGGCAATATTAGAATCTAAATTCTAAGCTGAACAGGAGATTTATATCTTCCTACCTGAGAAGATTAACATTTAAAACAAACAAAAATAAAAGCCTATTTGAAGCTAATTATTATCCTTCCACTTCATGCCAGCTGGTGTATTCACAAAAGTTCATGTTAAAATTTTACCAATATCTATTAAGACTCTTATCTATGGCACTATTCCAGGAACTATTCTCTCAATGTTTTCCCATCAGTGCCTGCAAGGAATATGACCCTTATTATACAGCTTATGGGTGGTAGATGAGAATATTCTTGACGAGAGGTTACAGGTCAGATGCTTTGGAGACCCATGGGCCTCCTAGTTGAATGAACAACTGAGACAATCAAGGCCCAGCAAACCTGTAACCTGTGCAACATTCCACCTTATCAGCCCACTTAAAAAAGGACCATAGATGAGAGCTCATTAGCAATATGCAGATATCTACCTGGGGTTTCAAATCGCCTTCATGTGACAACAGGTGATTAGCTGAAATCATTCTCTTTTATATTTTAAAAGTTTTACATGAAGAAATATTGGTTAATATTGTTGAAAATTAAAGATATGAAGTACCAATTCTTCAAAAGTAGAGCATTAATCATATTGGAAATTAAGTTAATCAATTGAAGGAATACAGGAAAACACTGTGCTTCACATATTATAGCATATTTAACATATGTGCAAAACTGGTGTTTGAAATAATCAAGTCAGGGAGAAGAGACAAGACACTTACACCAGTTAGAATGGCAAAAATGGACAGGGAAAGAAACAACAAATGTTGGAGAGGTTGTGGAGAAAGGGGAACCCTCTTACACTCTTGGTGGGAATGCAAGTTGGTACAGCCACTTTGGAAAACAGTGTGGAGGTTCCTCAAAAATTTAAAAATAGAGCTACCCTATGACCCAGCAATTGCACTCCTGGGTATTTACCCCAAAGACACAGATGTAGTGAAAAGAAGGGTCATATGCACCCCAATGTTCATAGCAGCAACGTCCGCAATAGCCAAACTGTGGAAAGAGCCAAGATGCCCTTCAACAGATGAATGGATAAAAAGATGTGGTCCATATCTACAATGGAATATTACTCAGCCATCAGAAAGGATGAATACCCAACTTTTACATCCACATGGATGGGACTGGAGGAGATTATGCTAAGTGAAATAAGTCAAGCAGAGAAAGTCAATTATCATATGGTTTCACTTATTTGTGGAACATAAGGAATAGCATGGAGGACATTAGGAGAAGGAAGGGAAAAATGAAGGGGGAGAAATTGGAGGGAGAGATGAACCATGAGAGACTACAGACTCTGAGAAACAAACTGAGGGTTTTAGAGGGGAGGGGGGAGGGGGATGGGTTAGCCTGGTGATGGGTATTAAGGAGGGCACATACTGCATGAAGCACTGGGTGTTATATGAAAACAATGAATCATGGATCACCACATCAAAAACTAATGATGTATTGTATGGTAACTAACATAACATAATAAAATTGAAAAAAATATATGTGAGTAACAACACAAGATGAAATAGACAAAGTTTCAAATGAGAACTTTAGATCAGATTTCTTATAGATGAGAGAATTTGGTCTTCTAGTCTGACTAAGGAAAAAGGCTTTACGGAAAAAGCCAGATTTTAGAACCACCTTGTAGCAAGTAGAATTTCTATGGAAAGAAGGGAGATAGACATTAGGCCACTGTATTAACCCAGCAAGGAATGAATTTGTGCCCTTTTTCCTCTAATGTGAAAAGTGACAACTTTCTATATATCCCACGTAATGAAAACATGTCTCAGGTTACTCACTCATTTTGTATCACCAAGATACTTGGTTTTTAAAATGAGTTTAAAAGACAGTGGTTCTAGACTCTGAAAAACAAACTGAGGGTTCTAGAGGGGAGGGGGGTGGGAGGATGGGTTAGCCTGGTGGTGGGTATTGAGGAGGGCACATTCTGCATGGAGCACTGGGTGTTGTGCACAAACAATGAATCATGGAACACTTCATCTAAAACTAATGATGTAATGTATGGGGATTAACATAAGAATAAAATTTAAAAAAAAAAGACAGTGGTTCAAGGTATTAAAAAAAATCAATATTCATAAGCATCTTTCCATTCTTGAATTTATGTGAAGATAAGGGAGAAAAAATAAGTATAACGGGGTGGGTCTCACTTGCCTACCAACAATGAGAAATTAAGTTGTCTAAACCACCTTCTTTGTTGTGGAGAGTATATACACAAACATCTAGGTGAAATGTTGCCTGGAAGATCCAGAAGTAACAGTTCCCTCACTATATAGAAATACATACATGCTTGCAGTGGAATAGCAAGCAAGCAAGACTGAATGCTTGGGAGTGCAAAACTCATCTACTCCATCCATCCACTGCCACCATCATTGATCTCCCCACCCATCCACTCATCCATCTATCCATCCATTTCTCTTAAACTCACACCAAGTATCCATGCATGCAACCACTCATTCCTATCACTAAAATGGCAAGTCTTTCATTCAAAGAATAAAAGAAATTACCTGCCATGCAAAGCTTCTGTCACAAAGAAATCAACAGTGTTATTAAAATCTTTTCTATGATCTTCAGGTGGAAGAAGTATGAAACTTTGTATGAAATTTCATTCTTTTCTAAAAATAAAAATAAAATACCAATAAGGAAATGTTTAATTATACCATACAACCCAAATTAACATTGGCATGATGATATCATGGTTTCTTTATTTCAAGGATTGTATATATATTCAAATGTTTGCTTTTTGAATTTTTGTTTCGTTTGGTTTTTCCACTTTCTCATTTCTTCAATCATGCAACCTGCTAAACTTTATTGAGAATCATATAATGATACAGTCACTTTTATTCATTTTAAAGTACTGGAAGTTTCTACTTAAAATTTACACTTAAAGGTATAACAATTCACTGTTTTATAGGTGAGAAAGGAGTGCCAGATAATCTGTCAAGAGTGCACATATAGTGAACAGTACACTTTGTATCTAAATACATATCTTATTTTATCCCAGCTTCCCAGGCATTTCCCATCTAGAAAAAGATATCATTTTCATTAAAATTAAAAGTAATACACACATAGGTTTTTCACTCTGCCAAAAAAATACCAATGCCTAAATTAAAAATAATACATTATACATTAAAAAAAAGAAGATAGTAGGAAGGGAAAAATGAAGTGGGGGGGAATCAGAGGGGGAGACAAACCATGAGAGACTATGGACTCTGACAAGCAAACTGAGGGTTTTAGAGGGGAGGGGGGTGGGGGGATGAGTTAGCCCGGTGATGGGTATTAATGAGGGCATGTATTGCATGGAGCACAGGGTGTTAGATGCAAACAATGAATCATGGAACGCTACATCAAAAACTAATGATGTAATGTATGGTGACTAACATAACGTAATAAAATAAAATTTAAAAAAATAGCAGTCCTCAGCAACCCTACTCACATCCTGGCATTTCCCCCATAACTCATGTGTAATGAAGAGTCTGACACCACTTTTAAGGTTGGGCCGATGACAGCTTTCAAGATCCATCTCCACCTTAACCTTCTGTGACATATCTTGGCAAACACAGAAGAAAGCCTCAACATGCCATCCCTTATATGAGCAAGAGTTTCAAGCTAAGCAAGCCAGACCCAAGTAAGGGAATCCTCACCTCCATCTTACTCAGAAGCTTCCATAATTGGCCTTTTGGGACAAAAGTATGGGTGTAGCCTTTCTGTGGCCCTGGTCACGTGTCTCACACAAACCTATTTTCTGTGTCAGCTTGGATTGTGCTTCTGGATCCCAGCATGAGCCGTGATGACACTAGGCTAGGTAGAACCCTGTGACCAATGGCTGTGTGTCTCAAGGACTGCCCCCATTATAAACAGTGCTCTGGGTAAGACTGATACCAGTTTACAAACCCACAGAACGGTGGAAGAAAAGTAGTCACTGTGTCATATGATGAGATTCACACCTGTAAAAGTAGAAGGCGCATACAACCCTAGAAAATGCCTTTGCTGCTGCTGCTGATTATATCCCTGTAGCTAAAAGAAAACCTTGCTTAAAAGAGGAAGAGGGAAAAACACTGATGACATGCCCATGGGGTTAATACAAGGGGTTCATTCAAACTCAGGTTAATTTCATGTCTCTCAAAATCACCACTAGGGAGGTCCTAGCCTTGATGATACTAATTGGGGCACTCTGAGGAAGAAACTTATAAATATGAACAGGTTAGAACAAACACCTCCCCAAAACACATCTAATAACAACCCAAAGAAAGAGGAAATACAGTGGAAAAGCAAGGTGGGAGGGTCAGGAAAGAAATTAAAACAGAGTTCTCAGTTTTGATACATGTGGAATTTAGTATTACTTTTAAAAAGCCTTTATAACAGAAGAAAAGCACAGAATGGCTTTTGTCCTCAACATCAAAGTTTCTAAATTACTTTTAACATCGAATGAGATGTACCAATGACAAACCTTAATGGTCTTAACATTTACTTGGGCAAAAATAACAGATGTATAAGAAGAACCCACTAAATTTATTGAAGAAATTCCTGTACTCTTAGGAGTCAAAAATATTAGTTGTAGAGGACAAATTTGCATGCCCTGTCTTAACTACTGGGAGTAAATAACCCATAGTCATAATAGCCATTTTTTACATTATCTCCTAGTGGGTATGGTTGCTCTTATGTAACAAGTCGTTAATAAAAATAAAATTAAGGTTGTAGCATTTACAGTCAGCTTGACAAAAAGGGATCCTTTGGATCTGCCCAACATATTAAAACTGTTAATACAACCAAATACATATTAAAATAGTGCCTTTAAGGATTATAATGAGATTTAACCATTACATAGAATGTATTAAGCAAAAAGTGATTATCTCCACTGGTTCTTTAATTTATAACAATTATAATAGCCTAATTTAGACTATTCTTAAACCAGCAAAGAAGTAATGATGCCTTGCAGTGGATTACTATAAAGCTATGGACATGATCGATCATACTAAGCCCCCCATTTCCAATATTCCTGAAATTGCTGACTATATCTAAGTACTAATAGATACTTTGCAAGAATAGATTTGGTAATATGTTCTGTTCAATTCTTATTTCAACAAGCTCTCAGCTGCAGTTTCTCTTCACCTTTGTCTTGGCAGGATACAAATCACTTGTAACTGGCTTCTCACGGACTACCTCAACAGTCTTGCTCACAAGCTTTGCCGGCAAGATCTTAACCACCTTCAACTTTCTCCAGAAATACATGTTTGACACTGCATTGAGGACAAACTTCTTTTGCAGAGATTCATTGAGCACACTCATTCAGGACACAAACATTCACACAGGAGCTCACAAGAGGGATGTGTTGCTGTCTTACATAAAGCACAAGCCATGGCACCTCAGTTAAAATTCTTGAGAAGAATTACTTGTTGGTTGAAGGTCTTTCCATCCCTGACACTATCAAGAAACAACTATTGGGGTTCCACTTCCAGCATGAGAGTATAAGGAGCTTTCCTGGACACACATTCAAACAGAAACTGGTGAAAGTTTTCTTTTATATATACCCACATATTCAACTATATATACATAAATTCTGAAAACAAAATTTGGTCGAAGGTAGTGGCGAATATTCTAGGAAACGGTGGACCATCAGGAAACTGTCTCCACACCTACACAATAATTGTCCATTTGTGCCCAGGAAAAGGCTCAGAAAAGATCTAAAAATAGCAAAATTTACACCCCAGATTGATCTTCACCACAAAGGCAGCCTAACACAATCACAGAACAAAAACAATAAGCAAATTAATAGCATAAATCTGTAAACTCTGGAGAAGGGAGGAGAGTCTCATCTCCAGAGTTAACGCATTTTAAATTCAACTGGTCAGTTTTCAACAAAAATCACAAGACACACCACGAAACAGGAAACTAAAACCTATTCAGAGAATAATAATAAATCAACAGAATCTGTCCCTGAAAAAGACCTGATGGAAGATATACTAGATGATAACTTTAAAATAACTGCCATAAAGATTCTCAGAGAACTAAAGGAAGATGGAAGTAGGTTAAGGAAAAAGCATATGCAAAATAGAAATGTCAATAAAGACATAGAAAATCTAAAAAGAAACCAAAAACAAATTTTGGAAATGAAAAATGCAATAGACGACATGAAAATTTCACCAGAGGGATTCAAAGGCAGATTTGAGCAAGCAGAAGAAATAATCTGTGAACCTGAAGATAAGACAATGGAAATGATCAAGTGTGAAGAACAGAAAGTTAAAACATTGAAGAAAAGAACACTGCCTAAGGGACCAACATATGCATTGTGGATGCTCAGAAGACAGAAAAATTGGATGAAAGATATGAATATAAACGTCCAGGAAGCTCAACAAACTCCAAGGAAAATGAACTCAGACACCCGCATCAGGACACATTATAATCAAACTTTAGAAAGATAAAGAGCGATTAGTAAAAGCAGCAAGAGAGGGCACATGAAATGATGAGCACTGGGCATTATATGCAATTGATGAATTATTGAATGCTACATCTGAAACTAATGATGTACTATATGTTGGCTAATTGAATTTAAATTAACAAAGTAAAAATAATAAAAGCAGCAAGAGAAAAGTGACTCATCACATACAAATTATTAATTTACTGAACAAAATTATTTGCCAGAGAACATCAATGAGACAAATAGATTTCTTTTCAGGGAGGGGGGATAGGCATCCAATGAAAGAGGGAGAATCTCAAGCAGTTTCCTTGCCAACATGGAGCTGGCCATGGGGATGGACCTCACAACCCTGAGATCATGACTTGAGCCAAAATCAAGAGTCAGATGCTTAATCAACAGAGCCGCCCAGGCACCTCTAAGATTATCAATAGATTTTTAATCAGAAATTTTGATGGCCAGAAGGCAGTGGGCTAATATAGTCCAGGTGCTAAGAAAAAGAATGATCAACAAAAAATTCAGTTATCTGGCAACACTTCAAAAGTGAGGGTGAAATTAACACGTTCCTGGTAAACAAAAGCTAAAGTAGGTTGTTACCACTAGGCCACACTGACAGTAATGCTCCCTGGAGGGGAAAAAGGAGGCCGCCAGATAGTAACTCAAAGGGTATGGAAAAATAAAGATTTTAATAGAGGTAAACGCATAGGGAATTATAAAGCTAGTATTATGGCCATGCTTTCTAACTTGACTTGTGGTTTTTACATGTTTTTTGAAACTAGTATATTTTTAAAAATGTATTATTAGTTTGAAAACAAGTATTATTTAAACTTTATAACTCCAATCAAGTTTTCTCTGTAATTTAATTTACTAACACATTTAAATTAATGATAGTTTAGGTTTGGGGGCACAGAATGTAAAAAGATGTAATTTTGTGATATCAACAATGCAAGGGGTTGGGGTTGAAAAAACATATATGAGGAGAATTTTTGAATTTTATTAAACTTAAACTGTTATAAATTAAAATGTGAGTGACATAGATTTAGCATGTTAAATTAAATCCCCATGGTAGGGTGCCTGGGTGGCTCAGTTGGTTAAGCGACTGCCTTCGGCTCAGGTCATGATCCTGGAGTCCCTGGATCGAGTCCCGCATCGGGCTCCCTGCTCGGCAGGGAGCCTGCTTCTGCCTCTGACCCTCCCCCCTCTCATGTGCTCTCTCTCTCTCATTCTCTCTGTCTCAAATAAATAAATTAAAAAAAAAAAAAAATCTTTAAAAAAAAAAAATCCCCATGGTAACACACATAAAAATATAGCTATAGATATACACAAAAGGAAATGACAAAGGAATTTAACATTTCACAACAAGAATCAACTAAACACAAAAGAAACAGTAATACAGAAAGTGAGGAACAAGAAACCTATAAAGCATATAGACAACAAATAGCAAAAGGACAGAAGTAAGTTTCTCCTTATCAGTAATTACATTCAATGTACATGGACTAAACTCTCCAATGAAAAGACAGACATTAACACAATGGATAAAAGCACATGATCCAAATGTAATA